ACATGGGGTTAAGGAACGCAGACTTTATGTCAAGGGAGCCAACTGCCCACTTGTGGCCGGCAGCCTCACGCAGGACAGGACGTGCGACTGCGACATCCCAAATTTCACTAAAGTTGCCACAAACCGCAACTCGCAGCTTGGAAGAAGGCTTCAAAGTCCAAACGGCCTTGGCTAGTAGCACTTCAGCACCCTCAGCCTTCAAGCGGCGCATGTGCTGTGCGTCAATGGGAACGTAAGTCATATGGCTTTGGAGGCCATGCAACTCTGTTTCCCCGGTTTGCCACCACTTCGCCTTTTCTTCACCAACACTCGCAAGAACGGTCTTGGCCGGGACATCAACAGCAACACTGTCGGGATCCATGGCAACAGCAGCTTGCAAAACCGCAGGCGCGGAAACTTCATCACCACCACGCTCGCCAACATTTTCTACGAGAGCCAGAAAAGCCGACGAGAGGGGCAGTGTTTCCCATGTTGGTGGCGCCTTTTGCTTTCCACGCAAACGCCTTCTGCGGGGCACTGCTTGCCAAGGCGGTTCACTTGACAAGTCCGGCTGGGGTTGTGTCCCAAGGTGTGTGCCCTGCTCCCCCTGCTCCTCCTCAACCAAATCTGCATAAATCTGCCCAAGAAACTTTCTGCCGAAGTCTATGTTGGGGGTTTGGGTAGCACCAGGGGAAAGGACAGGTCTAGCGCAGGCAGTGGTCCCAACCGAGCCAGATTGATACAACACAAAGCTGCCACCTACAATTCGTTCACAAACACCCAAGTAGCGAGCCGACAGCCCTCTGGGCATGAAGTCATTACTATCCCTTTGCCTTTGCCGCACCACCACCTGAGCTCCAAAGCAAGGCACGTCCTTCGGCACTTCTTCACCTTTGGCGTGCTTACGGGGAAGGTATGAAGCATGCAACATAGCCCATGGCCAGAACTTTACATCCAACCTGCTGTCAAGCAACATGGCACGAGCCTTCTCTTTCAAAATGCCCACATACCTTTCAGCAAGCCCATTGGCTCTAGGGTCACTTCCCTCGGTGGTTGTGCACCACAAGCCTTGCTGGAGCGTATGCTGATGCAAAGTTTTGTTGACAAATTGTTTGCCTCTATCACTATGCAACCTGAACACAACCTTGCCTTCATACTCCGCCTGAATTTGCGCGACCACACTTGCCACAGCTTCAGTGACCTCTGTTTGGGTCTTGGTTAAAAGCCAACGGACGTAAGGCAACGGGTTGCCTTTTTCCAAAGGGCGAAAAACTGCCACCAAAGCCCAACGCCAACCACCCTCTGCTGCTGCGTGGGGCCCGGTTAAATCCAAGGCCAAAACGCGACGTGACTTTTCATCATCTGGGACATGGCGATGTATTCTACCTCTGGAGTCAGCTAAGCGACAGATTTCGCACTCAGGCTGGGATGGATGGTGGCCACATCGACGGTGCTCTTCGGCCTCAACATCCTTCACTGCTGCAGCAAAACACCGGGCCAAAGGCTCATCACCTAAGTGGAATCAAGGACCGACAAGGAGTCAAGGAACAAGCGGGCACAGTTGGGATCAGGACGGGATGAGTCGACAGAGGAGTGCACGGATTGACGAAGGCGTTCAAAGTCAGGCTTGGACAAGAAAGGGGAAAAGTTCTGCTGCGACAACGAAAATGCTTCACCAGTATGCTTGTCAGTCATCACGGTCCCAATAGAAGGCAAGGTCCAAGGCATGAATGTACCGACCCAACGACATGGCAGTGTCGCCGGCCTGCGGGGAAACAAGTTCTTCATGCTCGTCCAAGAAGGCCGTCTGGTCAGGCCCTAAAGCAACTTTCACAGCAACTTCACGCAACAAGCGCCAATCCTCCTGAAAGCAGCCGGCCGCACCACGTGCGACGCACCACTGTCAACCAACACACCCGGAGTGTCAGGCAACACCACCTGCGCCAACCGGGCACCACGCAGCTCAGGTTGGGCAGACGGAGCGGAACCAGAGGAAGCAGGACGCTGTCGGGCTTCAGAAACAAGTTCAAGCATTGTGGTACGCACCTGTTTAGCCACCAACTCCGCCAAGGACGCGTCAGAAATTCCTGTTTGTGGTGCTGGAAGGGCCTTGGGGGATGGTTTGGGGGCAGCCTTAGCCTTACCTGCGGGAAGGGGTTTGTGTGGGCCACCATCCGAGCGGGTGGGACGGTCGCACGCCGACGCCTTCTGAGCAGACGAGCCACAGTGAAAACAGCGACCAGACGAAGGATCCAACCAAGCATGCCGCCAAGAACAAGCACCACCTTTACGGCATCCAGACGCTTTGCTAAAGAACTTGCAGGGGCGGGCAGCCGCGGGTTGCCTGTTGTCGTCTTGGCGCGGGTTATGCACGCCAGCGGATCGAGCAGCCAACTCATCCATCTGTTTCGTGGCGGCGTGGCTGTTTCCTGGGTGATGCTGTTGTTTGCTTGCGTTGCTGTTGCTGCTTTTGTCCTGGTCCTCAGCAAGCGACAAAGTGCGAGCCTCACCTTGCAAGTGCACAGCATAAGCACTCACCTTTTCCTGCGTGGCATGATGGTCAAGCCCAGTACTCACACGAAAAGTCTGTGAGCGGAATTTGAAATCCTCACAAGATGCTTCAACATGCTGCACAATCAAGTTGCTTCGGCTCTGGCAACTGGGGCAAAGACTTGAGCGGCTCAGCGTGCAACTTTTCCGAAGCCTGAAGACGCGTCTCTGACAGCCGGCTGAGTTGCAGAGTGTTCAGGACCTGCTGCATCAATGCCATCTGTTGGCCCATTTGTTCTTGCAATCGTGCATTCTCAGCCTGAAGGTGCGCTACGGTAACTGTTGAATGCTGTGATCTCAAGCCAGTTTCCCAGGAGCTCTCGCTGGCCGTGGCCTCTGGCAACGGCTCGAAAGGAGGACGATCATGAACAGGGATGGCTTCTAAAGGCCCTTCTGTGATTTGTTCCTCTTCTCCGCGCTCTGACTGTGACTCAAAGTCAGCTCTGCTGACCTCCAACGATGGCCGAGCTTCACCTCTGCTGTCCCGACCTGCTTGGCCATCATCAGCTCTGCTGTTTTGGCCCAAATTCACAGTTGAAGCCCTTTCTTGGATCACATTGACAGGACCAGGTGTGGAGGCACGTGCAATGTCGGCAATCAAAGCTTCTGTGCGTGCATCAAAGTGCCCAGCCCTACGTCTCAACCGCAACAGCTCTTCTGATGCAGCTAGTCTACCCCGCAGGGTTCTGATCTCTTCTTCCAAAGCAGCTGTTGCATCATCTGCTAAGATATCAGACAGCTGCCCATGAATACCACGTAAGTGTGATTGCATGCGATGAAACTTTGATTCAATGAGCGTTGGGGCTCATAACCCTAAAAACATTATTATCATCACCTCTTTTCACTCGAGAGACAAAAAGGCTCAGGCGTACAGGCCTCAGTGTGCAGTGAACACTCCTTAGTGAACAGGCCTTAGAGTGCAGTGAACAGGCCTCAGAGTGCAGTGAACTGCTGGCTTTACATATTATATACAATATACATATTTTTTTTTGGTAAAATTTTATATATTTAATAATATATATATGATATAAATAATTATATATATATATAAATAAATGATACATATATATATATATAGTATATATAATATATAATATAAACATTAATACATATAAAATATTTATTAATGTAAAGATAATATATATATAACATATATTAATCTAAAAATAATGTATATAATATGTAAAATATATTTAGTAATAAATATAATATATAAAATATATAATATATAATATTTATATATATAATATGTTATATATTATATATATGTTATATATTATATATATGTTATATATTATATATATGATATATATATAATATAATATATCATATTGTATTTAGAATATAATATATATCATTTATAAAAAGTATATTTAATATTCTATAAATATAATATTTATAGCATATATAAAATATAATATATATATATAATACATTTAATATATATCATTTCCATCATATATATAATTGATAATATTTTTATATATATATATATAAAATATCATATAAATATTTCATATAAAATAGGTATAATATATAATATAATATATATAAAGTAATATATATTTAATATATGTAATATACATTATATACATTATATATATATATGTAATTTTGATTATTTAAAATATATACAATATATATAATATATATAATATATATCAATTTTTCTTAATTACATATATATATATATCGTATATATATTTTTTTGATATATACAATAAATATATATATTTATATTTAAAATATAGAATAAATATAATATGATACATTTAATGTATTATAGATGTAAAATATATAATAACTAAAAAACGTATAACATATGTAATATTTGAAATATATATAATACTTAAAATATTTATAATATATTTAATATTTATGATATTTAATATCAATAATTTATCTAATTTTTACAATATATATTTTACTTATAATATATATGATATTTTTTATTTATATAATATATAAGATATATTTAACTTTTTGTAATGCATTTAAAAGATATAATATATATGATATATATAATATATATAATAAATAAAATATATATATATAATATTTTATATAATATATATATATATTATATTTAAAATATATAGTACATACAACATATAATACTAAATATAGTATATTCAAAAATACAAGTTTTTTTTTTGAAAATATTACATATTGTTTTTACAAAAATCTAATATATATATATAAAATATTTCAAAATATTATATATAATATATTTACAGATATTAGATATATTACATATCAAAAAATGATATATAAAATATATAAAATATGTATCATATATATCATATATATAATGTATTTTTTATATAAGATACATAATGTATATATAATATTTATATATATATATCATTTCCTGTTTTTAAAAAATATATTTCACATGTATAGATATACAAAATATATTTTTTATACTAATAATATTTATAATATATATATAATATTTCAAAATTTTGACAATATATAAGATATACAATATATATAACTTTTTGAAAATATATAATTAAAAAAATGATATATATATATATTATAGATAATATCAAAAAAATATGAAATATACATAATGATTTTTTAAAATATAATTCCAATTATATGTAAAATATATGTTTAAAATATTTAAGTTTAATAAGGTTTAGAATATGTATTTTATATATACCATATAATATATATATAAAAAAAAAGATAGAATAGTTTTTATGTTACATATATATATTTTATAGTTAATATTTCATTTTTTAAATTTATATTAAATATTTAATATTTATAATAAATATTATTCATATTAAATATATATATATTCAAAAAATATTTTTAATATATAAAATATATATATATAGATCATACAATAGATAAAATATAAACTATATGTAAAATATATTTTATATATAAGATATATGTTATTTAAAAAATAAATAATATATATAATATATTTAAAAATATGATATATTTAAAAATATTTTATATAATATTTACAATATATAATATTGATAATTTATATGTATATACTATAAATATAAAAAACTATTAAATATATATACTTTAAATAATGTATATAATATATATGTATATAATTCTTATAATAAATATAATATATATAAAATAGATACTATATATTTACAATTTCTACAATATACAATATATATAATATATATAATTTATTTCTCCTTCAATAAATATCATTTATATAATATATATAATATATAATTTATTTAAGATACAAAAAATATATAATATACAAAATATTTTTGAAATATATGACATATATCATATTTGTTTTATATAAAATATATTTAAGATATATAATATATTTAATATATACATAATATTTAGGATTTATAAAATATATAAGATATTTAAAATATATGATACAAAATATTTATATTATATATAAGATATTTATATAATTTTTAAAATATTTATATGATAAATAAAATTTAAATAATAAATAATATATATATAATATTTATTATTTAAAATATATATAATTTAAAATATATATAATATATAAAATATATATAGTATATATAATATATAATATATATAGTATATATATATATGTACAATATATGTATTATATATTTAATTTAAAATATATATAATATAAAGAATATTTATAATGTATTAAATACTTTTACATATTACATTTAATAAATAAATTTTTTAATATTCTATTTAATACAATATATATTGATATTTTTTTTTGCATAATTGAAAGAAAATATATTTCAAAAAATATAGAATATATATTAAATATAATATATAGAGATAATACAAATAATATATATATTTTATTTAATTGATATAATATCTATAATATTTAATATAAAATATAATATTTCAAATATATTTACTATTTTTCCTTTAATATACATAATATATATTTAGTATATATTATATATTGTATTTAATGTATATATGTATATGATATAATATATTTAATGTAAAAAAGAATCGTATATATATAGTATATACAATATAAAAATATCTAGTATATCCAGTATATATATCATTTATACAAAATAAATAATATACATAATTTATCCACTGAATATAATATATATATAATGTAAGTAATATATAATATATATTGTTTATTTTACATATAATATAGAATATCTATATATAT